AAATTAACTATTTAAAAATTTTTGTTTGTTTAATTTTCTTAATTCAATTTTTTTATTATAATTTAATTTAACGTAACGAAGTAACTTAATTTAGGTTTCATAATATATTTTTTATAAAGATAATAATTAAGTATTATGTTAGAACTCAATAATTATCGATAATTATATTTTAGATTTTTTTATATTTTAAAATGAGATGTTTATCCTCTATTTGATTATGTTTATCCGCAGTTAGTTACACGAATTCAAACATAGAGTTTTAATAAGTTGTATTTATGCACAATTTACTTGTAATCTTGAATTTTAAGTAATATGCATCAATAAATAGTATTTTATGCATACATATGGTTTTTAAGAGTTTTTGTCAAATGCTTTATAATATAGTTTTTGTAACTCCCAATTAATTAATGCATGATATGGGAGTTACATAATTTTTTTTTACCTAAATACCCTTTTCAACTTTGTTCACTTATCTTTATGAAATTTTAAATTTTAAAAAAGAAATTTTTATCATGATTAACACCGTCTATTAAAAGATTGAATAGCCAAGATCGGTTAACGAAGTTAACGCAAAAGCTTTGGTTAACATTTGATATATATATATATATATATCTTTTCAGATTTACCAATCATGATTCACATATGAATTATTTATTTTTACATTCTTTTAACTTTTTTGTGTCTTTATTTAAGCCTTCCTAGTATACACACATATATATATTTGCTAAAACCTAAGCATCTCTAAGGTATAAATTTATAAACGATAAACCTAAGTAAAATGCAATAAACAATGAAATTATATATAGAATTACATTCATATATTATTTTTTTTAAAGTTTTATCCACGTAACATTGCTCAGATCGATGCAACAACTAGTTGAACACCAACTAGATATTGTCTAATGGTTTTGTGGTTTTATAGATTATGAGAATTCAGGGTCATGTCGAAGGATGTATCAATGTATCATTGTTAAGGGCAATATAGCCTTTTGAAAATACGCACAAACATTTATTGTTAAGGAGAATTCAGCCCTAAAATCAAGCTGGGTTTCTTGAAAATTTGAGGTAAACTATAGTTGTTTTTGGTGAACTCGTCGTATATGTTAACCTTTCAATTTAACTACTTATTGGAGATAGTTGATTACGAAAAATTGATTGAAGATTTGTTTCCAACAATGTTAAAATAATGATTCTATGTAAATGAAATCTCTATGTTACTTTATCAATATATATATATATACACATATGATATAAACTATTATATTTTATTTATATATTACTTATTCGTTCGATCTATGGTTTTGATATAAGTGTAATAGGTCATCAAAAAGATTGGAACGGCCATATGAGCACTCTATCTTACACTTATTTTATTCATTGGAATTAAATTTAATTTAAATATTTTGTAGGTAGCGGTCTTTACCTTTATGTTAAAGGGAACAATTTTATTTTCTAGTCTTGCATTATTGCATACGGTCCTAACCGGTCATCAGTTTTCAACTAAGTCAAATTTCCACATGCGTTGGGCTCAAGTTCTTGAATTGCCTTCTGGGACGCTACCATGAACTTGGAATTGGAAACCCCTTTCAAATCAATATTTTCTTTGCTCAATGCAAGCAAATCAATCAACTAGCACTCGTGTTTGATTTCCTTCAATAGGTTGAATGTCATCTAGAGACGGGCTCTAGAAATTTTTAGAAGTGGTCATATCATTCGACTATAGGAAACAATTATATGGTTACTTTTACAAAATATGATGGTTAGTTCATTGTTTTTCGTATTTGACGTCATGTGTTCAAAACTTTTATTGCAAACTCTTTTTAGAACATAATAAATCGGAATCTAAAAACTAAGAAAACAACTATAATAGGACCGCACTCGGGTCTGATGTGGAAGAAAAAAGCCTCGCAAACCAACTCTATCGAGTGAAACTTGCAAACCAAATTGATGTGGTGGCAAATTTCATGACCCAGTAATTTTTTTACACCACGACGGAAGAACGAAATGGTAGCCCGTGCCGCCATATCCAATAGATTAGGTCCCCCTGGGTTATTAGATATGCTTCCAATCAATCAGCCGGCATGGTCGAAAGTGGTTCGGATTTTGTCTTACTTGCTAATGGGAGGAGAGGACTGGTCAATTCTTTAGACATTGCTATCTGTAGAATCACCAAGCTCTCTTTCGCTGTCTGTAGGTGATGATGGTATTTGCTATTGTACACCCACTGGAGTGTTGCAGGAGTTGCCTGGATGTAGCAGGTGAGATTGAAGTTAGGCTCAATACTTGATGCTATATGTTGTAAATATACCTAATGAAAATTTTGAACCTTCAAGCAACATGAGTTTCTTACCTTCTTGATTTGTCATTTTTTTTCCTTTAAATAGATATGAATATTATTTGATCTTTTCATTTTTTATAGTGTAAAACCTTTTAGTCATGGATTTAGTTCTTGTTATCATGCACATTAAGTTGCCAAAAGGAGATGATATCAAATTGATTCAACGATACTCTATCAGTAGAGTATAATATAATCAAGTTGCATAAATTCAACATACATAAATTGTTCATCGTATGACAAAACAACAAACCACACATAAATAATCATTCAATATTCAGGGAACACTCTAAATGACGAATCTCTTGGAACTAATATTAGTAGTAGTGAATTAATCACAAGCTTTCACAAAAGTAGGTCTCTAAGGATGGGGTAGAGAAGGTTTAGGGAAGTCCTTGGGCAACTCTGGTATTTCTGGTTTGGGCAAGGTGGGCTTAGGAAGGTCATGGATTTCTGGCACCTTTGGTACTTCTGGTTTGGGTAAAGCAGGCAACTCTGGCTTTGGAAGCTCAGGAAGTGCGGGTTTTGGAATTTCAGGAACTGTGGGCTTGGGGATCTCAGGAAGTGTGGGCTTCTGAATCTCAGGAACAGTGGGTTTTGGAATCTCAGGAAGTGTGGGCTTCGGAATTTCAGGAACAGTGGGCTTGGGGATCTCTGGAACTGTGGGCTTCGGGATCTCTGGAACTGTGGGCTTGGGGATCTCAGGAACAACGGGTTTTGGAATCTCAGGAAGTGTGGGTTTTGGAATCTCAGGAATTATGGGCTTTGGAAGCTCAGGAAGTGTGGGCTTCGGAATCTCTGGAAGTTCAGGCTTTGGAACCTCAGGTGTCTCCAAAAGGTTACGTGCCTCAGCATTCGTCATCCCACCACTTATAGATGCTAAAGTGATCAAAACTAGTATGAGTGGTAGGAAGGAAATGAGATAGGAATTAGCCATTGAGATTGCGTTGGATTGATGAAGCGGATCAATAACTAAGAAGGTGTGTGAGTTGGATTGGGAATATATGTTTGTGGATATGGATTTATATAGAAGATTGAGTCATGGAGAAGAGGGACCCATTGATGATGAGTTGGTGGGAATGAGAAAGAAATTGGCATTTTTAGTTCAACTTCTCATCTGTACCTTAGAAATTGTCCTATCTTGTCAAACTTGAGAGGGAGTGGGGTTGGAAAAATGCTCATCTTTTTATTTGTTTGAGTGTCTCAAATTTCTGATTATAATTAAGTCACTTAATTAATTACTATGTTTTTCAGGTCGGAACATATATATATATATAGGGTATATTTCTTTTACAACCTTGTGTATTTGTACAACCCTTGCAACCCAATTAATTGAGATATTTATAGAAATGATGAGAGTTCATTTATTATGATTTGAATATTTATGGAATATAAATAGAGTTCATTAATTATGATTAATACTTTATATTAGTAAACAATCAAAACTTCTATGAAATCACATATTCATCAAATGAAATGAACGGTTGAGATTGGGTTGTATTGGTTGCACAAATGTCAAGGGTTGTATAATAACCAACCTCTCTCTCTCTCTCTATATATATATATATATATATAAATGAGCGATCAAATAAAAATCACCCTCATTTGTAAAAACCGTACAAACCACCCTCATACGTCGATTTCATTGTTTAATCTTATGAAATTTTTTCATGAAATTGTTTCATATAATACTTTTTTTGATGAA